CAGAATTTCCCCTCTAAACTTACAGTCAAGTGTGGTATATGAACTGAAAATATATGGTTTTGTAGAGAATTTAAAGCTCTATCGAATGCCATCTGAAAGAAGTTCTTAGGTATCTTTCGTTTATTTTTATTAGACCATTTCCTATCAGCAGGTGCAAACAATACCTGAGAACATTATTTTCAGTCTTTCTCAGTTAATACAAAGGCTTGAGAAAAAATAAATATATGGAAAGATAGCCCATGCAATGCTCTACAAAATCCATATCAAACAATCTCAAATATCAAAAATTTTCTTAACCGGCGGCATACTTTATTGTTAATGACATGGACTTCTTTTTAACGACATATTTTAATATTTCATTCGAATTGGATTCAATCAAATATTGGCAAAATTAAATGGAATTATATTCCATTATTTATTTGTATAACATATATTCCTATGTTCTATTTTGCATGTATTGTTATATATCAATGTGAAAATTCTTTTGATTATACATCATTACTTTGTGATGCAATATGTTATAATAGTGTTACATGGTTATCAACATATGATTAGATAACACATATATTATTACCATCATTATTAATACCATTTGCAAGTATTAGTTTATTATTTCGAGTTTTAATTCAAGCAAAAAAAATGAAACGAACATTAAATTGGAGATCAACAAGAAAATTAACATTGTAATTAATGTTTATTTCAATACTTTATTTATTATTTTGGACTCCATTAGCATTAGTATCACTTATTCGAATTTATTTTATTCCAACATTTATTGATTCTATAACTTATTATTATTTATATTATACACCATATCTTGTTCAACTTTTAATACCATTTGTGTGTATTGCTTGTTTACCAGAAATATGGCCAAGGAAAAACCGTATTGTTTAAACAACAATAATAACACAAAATCGACTTTAAACACTTATAAAGACAGTATCCATTCAACAAATAAAAAAATTTTTCATTTGAACTAATAAATACATTTATTTCTCTATCCTTTAACTATATTTTAAATCTATATAAACACTTCTTATTTTCAGATAAATAAAGTTCATCTTCTTTGAGACATTTTTCAAAAATAAAAAACGTCAATGTTGAAAATCACTTTTAAATTCTCAGTAAACTTATCAATTTCTATTTATTCTATAATGAACCACAAATCTCTCTTATTTAATTTTTACAAAAAGATCGAAACAAAAAATATTTAGCGATAATTAGCAATCAAAATTGATATCTAACTTAAATGAATTTCAAATTTTGAATAATCCTAAACAACAATATTAAATAAAACACCTTGCATAACAAAATGTATCGAATAGGAATTCAATACTCTGCTTTCTCTTAACAATTTTATTATTCTCATCTCGGTTTGTACGGAGCCAGATTATATTTCTATTGAATAGATTTTGTTATTCAAGATGTATTACTCAATATTGTGGTTTAGGTTCATTCGAAATATCAAATTCATCTAAGTTAGAAATCAATTTTTGTTACTGGTAATAAAAAATCTCTTGAATAATAGGAAAATGTTCGATAGAAATTTTAATTTTTTGAAAGTAATGATTGAATAAAAATCGAAAATTAGGATATCATCTTAATGAAGATAGATTTGGTTTTATCTGAATTTATCTAAAATGGAATAAGTGAGTATATAAATAATGAAAAAAGAGAAAATGCTTCTTTCAAAATAATAATAAAAATAAAAAAAAGCAATGATTCTAAATATATATAGACAAGCAGAGATTGTTTTCTATATTTCATTAGTGATATCAGTATTAAGGAGAAGAGTAAGTGTGGCTGTTTATTCTCTTCACATCCATACACTTCAATTTTGTACTTTTTCTCTTACCTGAACGAATTCTTGTCCCTTATTTCATCTTTTTATTACCTAATATCTTTTCTTTAAAAAAAACTAGAATATACCGCAAGATGTATCATGAAAAGCTCTACAATCTAGATAGTAAAGCTTATCTTAACCGTGTATTTTTTGAAAAAGTACACAACTAAATAGGTTGCAGAAATTTTCCCGCTATATCTTGTGATATGGTTTTTTTTTTAACACAACTCATTAGTTGATAAGATAATGAAATACAAAATACAGCCATTTATTCTGGCTTGCCCATTACTTATTTCAAAAAGTTACTTATATCTGTACGACTGTGTAACAGATAGACAATTGAAATTCTAGCGTGAGGTAGTTTTAGACGTCTAACAGCAGTAGTCTTTTCTACTGAAAAAATATGACAACGAAAAAAAAGGATATGTTACGATTACGTGTAAACAAAAAAAGGACAGCAATAATAATGTTTGTCAGAGATGTTACTCATGTGAAAATTGAGCATTTCTCTGATAAGTTTTAAAACTTCGAGCACAATCTTGCTTATTTTCTAAATTTTGGCGTGGATAAAAAAGAGATGAAGACTCATATACTTTGTCTTTTTTTCTATCAAAAATCGAAGACAAATGCTTCTTATTAACAATTGCTACGGTCTATTCGATATCATTGAAAAATGACAGCAGCAACGGTTTTAAGTTGGTTTCTTGTCATCATAAAAAACCTCTTTCTTTTAAATTAATTCAAACAAAAATGAAGTTACAAGAGAGGAAAATAGAAATAAAACTCTTTCAAATGAACTATTGTCTCTTCAAAAATTATTCGTTTAACTTGAAGACAATTGAATCGCGTCACATCTCGCGTAAAATTTTCTGTGACATTTCTTAATTTCTCATACTTCACTTTTAATTGAGTTAAACGAGGTAAAGAAGTTTTTGTACGAAGTAAAAATTGTTCAACATAATCAATATGCACATACATTATACTAAGTGATGTTAAATGAGGATATTCGACAATTGAATAGGAATGATCTATATCACGTTGAAAATTGACATGATTAAATGATGGTGATTCTGCATTCATACCATTTAATTTTTTAAGATATGGAAAAAATTGAGCCACTCGAATGAAGAATTCATGTTCGAATGGTATTGTATCACACACCCATAAATAGGTAATACTATTGAATACAATTGTTGGAAAATTATTGCCAATTCTTTCTAGATAATCAAATTCAAATGGAAGTGAAAAAACATGACATAAAACTTTATCGCCGTACAGGGTGTGGGTGTGGGTGTGGAAAAGCCAAACGTTGGCACCCACACCCACATCCCCACCCCCACCCACACACACCCACACCCACACACACCCACACCCACACCCACACACACCCACACACACCCACACCCTTAATAGGCCTTCCAAACGTGATTTGTTTAAAAAAAGAGCATATTTAAACCGGTAAACGTATTTACACTTGCTTTTATTTAAATATACATGGTTTGAATATATTATTTTAGGAATCATCAAGACTATAAGCAAAGAACAAAACCTTAGTCAAAGTTGTCTGATCGGTCTCTCGGTCTGGTTTATACTATGATTGAATTATATTACGTTCAAAAATATTACAAGAGCAACACTGTTGCTTGTGCCAATATTCAAGAAATATTCGCTGCAACCTATGAGTTCAATGGTATACTTGTAGAATTCATGTCGTACGTTCCCTATCACAAAATACAGCCATAGACATGATATACTAAAGTCATTCAACAAAAGTACGTAATAGATATTAATTATCATTTTAACATCTCGCCAATGTATGCCTATGCTCCAATCTATCAATTTTTTGTTATTTGAAGTCGTTGTCGAATGTCTCCTCGATACTGGTTTGAATTCTATTGAGTTTTGAGAAACGTTCGACGGAATATTGAAGCTGGTGGACAGGCTCAGACTTGAAGAATAATTTGCTAGTCGTATGTTTGTAATTTTTTCGCGAAACTGCTGCCAATTTTCCCAGAAGAAACTCACGCAAAACCAAATAGTTTGGATGATCAGCAAAGCAACCATAATATCACCGTAGAGCTTTAAAACAGAACATAAAAGATGTCGTTTCCACCGTTGTTTTACTTGAAAAGTTGCGAGGTTCCAAGCATTACGACGAGTGACGATGTGTCTACTATTTATTCCTTTTCTGAAATCCTCCACTATCGAATTCGTTCCACTCCACAACTCTAAGAATCGAGCAACAGCGAGAGCCATAAAGGGAAAAAGCAACATGATGTTTCAAAGTACATTTTATTTGCAAGAATGCTGCAGCACTTTAAAGAGTGGGATTGAAAAAAAGAACTGTTTATTTGGCTTTTTCTTCCGACTGTAACTATTCATATGTTAATATTTTCTCACTCAGTCATCCTTCGCGTGATTTTACTTTCATATTGCCAACACATGATTCATCAATGTCCTCAAGGCAAGCTCTCTGTAGAATATTATTGAATTGATTAGTCACAAGTCATATAATTGTGAGACATCGTTTGAGAATCGATCCAATTCTTCATATTGCGCTATACAAGTCAGCAACCCACAGAAGGTGAAGTAAATCATCTGAACATCTCTGTCGAACAGGAAGCGACAAACTACATGTTTCAGTTTCTGTTGCAATATATGATGATTCATTTAAGAATATAACTTTCAAGTTTTGTTCATGTCTATTTGAATCATGAATCAAATTTATACACAATGTTCTGGGCAAATAGCAAATGATTATGTCCTGGGGTGGAAGCGCTGTTAGCATCGGTCGATGACGCTCACTTGCGCAAAACATTCTCTAGATCATATATTTTCTATATATTCGATCCCCTCTCTTTATGCGTAAGACGTTGGTCATGGCTGACCACCATGGCTATCATGATATTTTTACGCAATGTATTTTCTTCATTATTATTGACCCTGTTCTTCTTCATTATCATCAACAATCACGTGTTGTTATGTTATAATTGTCACTACTATTATTCGTTACGTTGATTGTAATTTTGTGGTTTTATTTTCAATAAAACCGTCTTAGTTATTGTTATTAGTTATTAAGGCATATTCCACCATTATATCATCATCTTCTGGTAGGGTTTTATCGTGCGTCATCCTCTATTGTGTATGCAAGGTGTGGGTGTGGGTGAGGGTTTGTCTCATTGAAATTCAAAGCCACACAAAGCACGACCCACACCAGAAGTCCTCAGCCAACCCCACCGCCACTCATCCCCCCCCCCCCCACCACCACACCCACCTCAACGCGCATCCACACGCGCGCAATAAATGGTTCACATCAAGAGAACTGTTTATTTGATGCACATGCTTTCTTTTTGCTTTTTTCGCGGAAAGTCAACGTCTCTGCCTTGAAGAATGCACACTTCAGTGACCGTCTTCATTTGCGCAGAGAGAATTCGATAAAAAATGCAGAATGACTCACGTTGTTGAGTGTCAGCACTGGTTTTTTTTTCTAACTTGCAAGAAAAACAGCACAAAGCCAATAGTTACGTGAAGTGATGAGAAAGGGTGTGGGTGTCAGTCTTCTCTTCACCACCTACCCACACCCTATCCATTTCATAATATAAGAGCCGTGGCCATTTCTTGAATAGCTTTTGATAGAAGCAAGATAGAAAGGTACGGTTTTAGCCATTAGAAAGAGAAGACTCAGGTGCATCAATGCATGCTAAAATATGATTGGTTAGCAATGGACCAATTAGGTGCATTCTCGATAGACCTTTTGAGTACCCTTCTCTGGAGCCATTTCTCGACTTATCTCTATTTGTTAATTTAGTTATTGGCAGGAAAAATTGTTCTCTTTCGATTTACGCAAAACCTTCCTAGGTTGTTCCGTTCAAGAGTTATAAGAATTTTTCTGAGACCCCTAATTTCAGCCAATTGACCTTGAATCAACCACAAAACCACATGTGATAGGGTAATTCTTCATGCTGAGTCGAATGGTGATATTTGTTTTTGGATTCGAAACCATCTTACGATGTTATCTCAAAATTTCCAACATGTGGACTCATGTGATGCATAGCGGTAGATATTGTGAAATGTAGAAAATTCATAAAAGACACCGTAAGATGGTTTTGAATCCAAAAACAAATATCACCATTCGACTCAGCATGATGAATTATCCTATCACATGTGGTTTTGTGGTTGATTCAAGGTTACTTGGCTGAAATTAGGGGTCTCAGGAAAACTCTTATAACTCTTGAACGGAACAACCTAGGAAGGTTTTGCGTACATCG